GCCTCTAACGTTGCAGCAGTGGCAGTTCCTGCTGGAAGGAGCTCTGTCTCCAGTGTCTGCCTTTGTCCATTTTCTTTTCTGGGGCAGCCCTGTTCTCTTGCCTGGAGAGGGGAGACATGTGGAGCCTTGGTCAGAGCCGGGCTGGCATGAGCTCCTGTGGCAGGGGGCTGGCCCCTGGCCCCTCTGGCCCATCCTGCTGCCTCTTCAATGCCTGTGCAGCCCTTCCTGCTGGGCTGGCATGAGCACTGTGACCACAAACTGTGTCCCCTGAAGGCCCTGCGCTTCTAGCTCGTCATCTAAAGCTGCCTCCCTTAACTGCCTTCTGTCTGCACGGCTCACCAAGAACCCGAGGAGAACTGGTGGTGGGAAGGGGTCATCACCGTGCCAGGGGCTGTTCTAGTTGTCCCCACTCTACTGGAGTCTGCATCCCTGCCATAGGCAGGTCCCACCGCACTGGACATGAGCGACAAGACCACGCTCCCTGGTTCGGGCAGTTGGGGATCTGCTTCAGGATGTCCTCTGTGAATCTGGGGGCTACAGTGCTCACTTAGATGGGAGATGTCCCTCTGTCCTCGCTCCAAATGCACGCGCGGGCAGTGTGGTATGCAGGCATCGATGCTGGGTGCAAAGTATCTGAGTTCGAATCTCAGCTTTCACTTCAGACAAATCCCTTGACTTCTCTGTGTCCACTCTCTTCATTTGTTAAGTGGGGATAAGATCAACCATCTCCAAGGGTTGCTGAGGGTTGAATGAGGTCGTATCCATGGGCAGTCAGAACACTGCCCAAGTTAGCCTGCCCTGGGAATCGCTGTCCACAGTTCAGGTGGTCGGTGACCTGAGCCAGGGAACATACGACCAGAACTGGACTTAAGAACCAAGAGGCAGGCTGGCAGGTGGTATGGTGGTTAAGGGCCCTGGACTCCCACATGGCTGACTATGGTTTGAGTCCTGGACCTGGTGGCTTGCTTTCTCACTTTCCCTCTCCCCTCTCTGTCCCTCTGATCAAATAAAAAGCAAATAAATAAGTAAAGTAAAATAATTCTAAAAAAAAAATCTTAAAAGTAAAGGACCAGGGCCAGCAATTGGAGTAATGGCTATGTTGCTGGACTCCCATGTAGTTGACTGTGGTTCAAGTCCAGGACCCGGCGGCTTAAACTCACGCCGGGCACGTGTGCGTGTGTGCCCAAGATCCCGAGAGGAGAATGGAGGAGAAGGGATTGGGCGTGGCCATCCCCCCTGGGGGGGTGATTTCTCGCTTTCTCTCTCTGTCTCTCCCTGTCTTTCTGGCAAGCACACGCACCCTGTAGCAAAAACCTCTCCAAAAAAAGAAAAAAAAAAGGACCAGGACCAGCAGTTAGCGTAATGGCTAAAAAAAAAGAAAAAAAAAGGACCAGGACCAGCAGTTAGCGTAATGGCTATGTTGCTGGACTCCCATGTAGCCAACCGTGGGATGTGAGTCCTGGACCCAGCGGCTTAAACTCATACTGGGTGCGTGTGCGTGCGTGCCCAAGATCCCGAGAGGAGAATGGAGAAGGGATTGTGGCGTGGCCATGCCCCCTGGGGGGTGATTTCTCGCTTTCTGTCTCTCTCTCTGTCTTTCTGGTGAGCGCACACGCCCTATAGCAGAAACCTCTCAGAAAAAAAAAAAAAAAAGACCAAGGGACACCCTCGGGTGCCTCTGAAGCCCTAGACTGAGGCGCACTCCCACCTCCGTCCCTAGCCCACTACCTCTGCTCTCTGTTTTGGCTAGGCCTGGACGGGCTTCTCTGGATCTCCAGCAGAGCCTCCCAGGGCCCTCCTCTCACTGAGTCCATCCATCTCACTAAGTTCCCCTACTCCCACCCCCTGGCCTATCCCGCTGCAAGAACTGGCACTTAGGAAAGTGGAAGCTCCTCCCCTTGGCCTGGACTCCGCCCCGCACCACTTCCAAAGCTGAGGTCCAGCCCTTCTCTTCCTAGAAACCTGCCTTTCAGGTCTCTTGGCCCTCGGAGACCTGGATTCCCGCCTTAGCTTGGCCTTTTACCATGTGACTCTTTGCTTCCTTGGGCCTGTTTACTCATTCCCGACACGGCAGTACATGTAGTTGTGGGGGTAAAACACGAATGGGCACAGGGGTTCTAGGTTAAAAAAAAAAGCCAGTACCCCCAAGAGATGGTGGTTCCAGAGCTGTCATAGCAAGTGGAGTGGCCAGCTCCCCACCACCTCTGTGATGTTCACGGTCCCCGAGTCCCAGCCTGCTGCACAGGCGCACACTGACCCACACCCAACTTCGCTGTTTTTGTGCGATGCGCCACTTTGGCCGTCAAAGTGTGAACCCCTTCTCAGGATTGTGTTTTTATTCTTATTTTAGATGTTCGCCATGGGGTGCGTGCACTCACCAGAGAGAGAGAGAGGGAAAGTGAGAAATCACATCCCCTCCCCCCCTCCCAGAATGGCTACGCTGCAATCCTTTCTCCTCCATGCTGCTCTCAGGATGTTGGGCACACCTGCCCACATGCCCAGTGTGTTGACTTGAAAAAGGGGTCTGGGACTCCAACCTTGGGGACAACCATGTGAGATTCAGTGCCTTAACCACCATGCCACCTGCTGGCCTGGATCATATTTTTAAATGTATGTGTGTGTGTGTGTGTGTGTGTGTGTGTGTGTGTGTATGCGCGTGCATGTATACATATATGAATTCAAAGGAAACAAATTACATTGAGAAGTGATTCTATCCACAGGACCCTGGGTGATGGATGGTCCAGTTAAGAATCACTGTGTGGTTTCTCTGATGCCGGCAGGTGGCATGGTGGTTAAGGGCACTGGACTCCCCCCACACAGCCAAGTGCAGTTCGAGTCCCGGACTTGGCGGCTACGTGTCTCACACTCCCCTCTCCACCCACCACTCACCCCCGTCAAATTAAAATAAATAAAGAGGGACCAGCAGTTAGCATAATGGCTATGTCATTGGATTCCCATGTAGTTGACCACAGTTCAAGTCCTGGACCCGGTGGCTTAAACTCACTCCAGGCGCGTGTGCGTGCGTGCCCAAGATCCTGAGAGGAGAATGGAGGAGAAGGGATTGCGGTGTGGCCATCCCCCCTGGGGGGTGATTTCTCACGTTCTGTCTCTCTGTCTCTCTCTGTCTCTCTGGCAAGTGCACACGCCCTATAGCAAAAAACAGAAGCAAACAAACAAAAACTCTCTCCCCATAAAGTAAATAAATAAATAAATAAATTTAAATAAAAATAATTCTCTCTATATATAAAGACAAGCGGCGTGGTGTCTCTAGAACACAGGCTCCTCACATTCTGCTCCCCCCTCTGTAAGTGAAGACAGTTTTCCGCGGCCCCCTTTCAGTACTCGCACACCTTGCTCACGATTTGTTCTCGCGGTGTGCGCTTAGGCAAGCTCCTTCTGTGCTCTAGTTCATTGTGACGGCTGCGCTTGTCTGTGCCCAAAACTGGCTTTGCGAGTGACTCACGGTCCGCTTGATGCCAGAGCCGCAGGGGGGCAATGGGCGCCTAGGCAGAGGCAGAGTAAGGAGTGAGCCAGGCCTCTGGGTGCAGCCCCGACCTTGGCACACAGTAGGGGCTCAATAAATAATCGCTGGGGGAATGAAAGGGAGGTTGTCACGCTCATGAAAGGACCCACTGTTCCCGGGTGGGGTGGCTGCGCACTTTGGTACAAAGTTGCAGTCTTTCTCACCTCTTCATCAAACCACGCCTGCTTGAATGGGTTTCTTTGAAAATCGGCCTGTTTCCAAGAAGTCCATTCGCCCGGCACCCTGGAGATCACCCCACTCGGGTGGGGAAACTGAGGGAGGGACCTGGGGCTCGCCAGCAGAGCAGTAGCAGTGAGCCACAAGAACGCATTGAATAACCGGCAAAGTGGCCGGCGGCGGGGTGGTCTGGCCAGGTCCCCCTGACCCCCCCATCCCCTTCTCGCCCATCCCCTTCTCGGTAGACTAGTCCGCCGGAACGCCCCTCGGCTCTGCCTACTGCTCACCCGGCCCCTCTCCTAGCCGGTGTCGGAATGCGCGGTCCAGAACCCAAGCCCTGGCCCTGGCTGCACCCCACACTGTGTCCGAAGTCGAGGTTCGGCTCTCGCTGCCGGGACACCGCCTATCCAGCGAGGGCCCCTCCCCGGCTCTCCTCCCGGGCCCTGGCTCCGCCCCGAGCCGGCTTCCTGGGCTTGGCTCTGCCTCCGCGTCACCTCCCCGGCGGTGGCCCCGGGCCTGAACTCCGCCTCCCGGGCCAAGCTTCTCCCGCGCTCCACCTTCTCGGCTCTGGCTCCGCCCCCGGCTCACTTTCTGGCCTCGGGCTTTTGCCCAGTTTTCTCCTATTTTGTCCCACCCTGCCGGGAGTACGGGCTCCACCTCTGCCGGCCGGCGTTCCGCTCCTGCCCCACCTCCGAGGGCGCTGGTCCCGCCCAGCCCGGGCAGGCTCCGCCCCCAGGGTCTGGCTCCGCCTCCTTCAGTTCGCATTTCCCACTAGCTCCACCTCTAGAGAGGAGGTCCCGCCCCCGGGTCCCCACCCTCCCTTTGTGTTCTAGCCCCGCCCTTCCCCGCCCGGCTCCGCCCCTGCTCCCGTTCAGGGTGGCGATCCCGCCCCTGGACTCGGGCAGGCTTCTGAAGGCTGCACTGTCCCGGACCTGGTTCCTTGGCGGCAGTGCACCGCGGAGCGCCATGCAGTGTCTGGGGCTCCCGAGCCGGGCCCGCTCCAGGGAGCTGTACCTGCGGGAGGAGAGCCTTAAGGTGGCAGCGCTCAATGGGCAGAGGCTGGGTAAGGGGCGCAGGGAGCGCGGATATCTGCTGGGATGGGCCAGCAGCCAGGGCAGGGCTCAGACTGCTTGTCCCTAAGCTCGGGGGCCACCTGCCTTGGAGCCTTTGACTGGACCGGCTTAGTACTTCTGTGTGACCCACTGGGGGGCTGCGTTTGCAATGGTGGCACCTGAGGGTGGATACTGGGGAGGTTGGTTAGTTACCCCTTCTCCTGACCTGCCTCAGCCCTGCCCAAACCCTGGCCCCTTGCCACCCTGACTCCTGGTGTGGCTGAGTGTGAAAGTCATGACTGTGTCACCCGATGGGGTGATGTGCAGGTCAGTTTGTGGTCCAGTGCGATGCTGCACAGCTGTGTGCCTGTATGTGACAAGTGACACAGTGGGTGACCCGGCATGTGGCCTAGTGGTGACTGACTCCGTCACACACATGTGCAGTGATGATGGCGTGTTCAGCTGTGTCACCAAGTGTGTGACGTTGTGGCACCAACGGTGTCTTCGTGGTACTGCGTGTCGGTACTTGGTCCAGTGTGATGTCGTGCCTTTGAGTGTGACTCTGTGTGAGAGATGTGACAGCGGGTGACCCGGAGTGACCGAGTGCTTCTGTCCATCTGTTTGAGCTTGTGTGTTGTGGAGTTTCTGATGTTACCCTGCGGCAGTGTGTCCCTGAGCGGTGGCTGCGTCCAGCACTGTCATAGCCCTGACTCCGTCTGTGGGCAGGCTGCCTGCAGTCCTGATGACAGCATGCAATGTCCTTGAGCCTCAGTTTCCTCATCTGTAAAACGGGCGTAATGACAGTGCCTTCCTCAGAGCACAGTCGGGGGTTAAGTGCCTGTGCTAATAACAGGAGCTTATCCCAGCGGTAGCTACTACTCTGCGGGCGGGCATTCTTGTCACTGTACGTTGGGTGTGTGTTGGTGACTATATCCAGGTGGCTCTGTCTCTTGTAGCTGTGTCGCTGTGGGTCCCAGGCCCAATGTGCCATCATTGGGTGGCCCTGGCATCCCTCTGGCTTCCCACTGGCACCTGCAGCAGCCTCTGTGCCCCTCCACTTGGCCACGAGAGTGTGTGCAGCTAGCCTGGGAAGGTTGGTGAGCCTGTAAGGTCAGCCCCTGAGATGCGTGAGGGGAGCCCAGAGCTTCTGGGTGCTGGGACCAGCAGATGGTTACGTTGCTGAATTCCCACGTAGTCGACTGCAGTTCGAGTCCCAGACCCGGGGTCTTAAACCTCTCTCCGGATGCGTGTGTGTGCATGTCCCAAATCCCGAGAAGGAATTGAAGGAGAGGGGATCGTGGCATGGCCGTCCCCGTTGGGAGGTGATTTCTCACTTTCTGTCTCTTTGTCTCTCTCTGTCTCTCCAGCGAGCACATGCACCCTATATCAAAAATAAATAAATAAATAAAAAGAAAAAGAAAGAAAGAAAGAAAGAAGGAGGAAAAAAGAATTTCTCGGTGCTAAGGGAACATAGGTGGTGGGATTGGAAGCCCAGTGGCCTCAGAAACAACAGGGACCGACTGAGGCCAAGAGATGGGGGTGCCTGCCTGGGTTTCTCAGCGACCAGAGGGTAGCGGCCTCTGCCTTTCTGGAGGTCTCCAGGCCCACCTTGGGACCGAGGCCCCCTTCCGGAAACCATGGCGGCCCCTGGGGCTTATCTCTGCTGACTGCAGACAAGGCCACAGCCCGGCTCCGGGACAGGATGAGCTTGTCATCTCTCCATGGTGTTTTCCAGCACGGGAGGGTGGGGCTCACCTTCTACTTCCTGACAGCCCCCACCCCATCTGTGTGTCCAGCGTGGGAGTGGGGAGCTGGCAGAGGGTACGGAGATGGCCCTCCCTGGGGCACCACTGCCTCAGGAAGGCCAGTGCACTTCCGCAGTGGACATAGAGGTGGCCCTGTCCTCTGTCTGGGGACCTCCTCCCCCGTGCCCTGTCCTGGGCCCCCTGCACAGCCCCCAGTTCAGAACATGTCGGATGTCTCCCTTCCCCGCTAGCCTCCCCTCGGGCAAAGGAGAACTGGTCACGCTAAGGCACAGCGACTCCTGGAAGTGGGGGGACAGACCTGGGACAAAGCTGGGAGAAGGTCCCATTAGACTGTCACCTGAGAGGAGGTCCCGGGATGCCAGGTGAGACACAGTTCTCACCCCAGGCGAATGGAGCGCAGACACGCAGCGAGGCCCTCTGGAGCTGCCTGCAAGAAGGCTGAGTTAGCCTGGGCTGTTTCCATAAGTAGGCTCCGAAGGGTGTGGGTGGCTGAAGCCTGGGGGAGTGGCCCGGAAGGTTCTGTAGGCCCCAGAGATACGTGAGCAGGGCAGCTGGGGGTGGGAGCATGGCTAAGTGGGAGAGGCCAGCAGGGGTTGTGTATCTGGCGTGAGAAGAGAAAGGGCCAGGCTGGCCCTGTAGCCTAATGGTTAAGGGAGTCAGATCCCACCTGGCTAGATAAGGTTCGAATCTTCGCACTGGCAGCTTGAAAACTTGCTGAGCCTCCCCTCGGGCTGAAGGAGAATGGTCACGCTAAGGCACAACGACTCCTGGAAGTTGGGGGACAGACCTGGGACAAAGGCGGGAGAAGGTGGACACTCTCTCTCCGGATGCGTGTGTGTGCATGTCCCAAATCCCGAGAAGGAATTGAAGGAGAGGGGATCGTGGCATGGCCGTCCCCGTTGGGAGGTGATTTCTCACTTTCTGTCTCTTTGTCTCTCTCTGTCTCTCCAGCGAGCACATGCACCCTATATCAAAAATAAATAAATAAATAAAAAGAAAAAGAAAGAAAGAAAGAAAGAAGGAGGAAAAAAGAATTTCTCGGTGCTAAGGGAACATAGGTGGTGGGATTGGAAGCCCAGTGGCCTCAGAAACAACAGGGACCGACTGAGGCCAAGAGATGGGGGTGCCTGCCTGGGTTTCTCAGCGACCAGAGGGTAGCGGCCTCTGCCTTTCTGGAGGTCTCCAGGCCCACCTTGGGACCGAGGCCCCCTTCCGGAAACCATGGCGGCCCCTGGGGCTTATCTCTGCTGACTGCAGACAAGGCCACAGCCCGGCTCCGGGACAGGATGAGCTTGTCATCTCTCCATGGTGTTTTCCAGCACGGGAGGGTGGGGCTCACCTTCTACTTCCTGACAGCCCCCACCCCATCTGTGTGTCCAGCGTGGGAGTGGGGAGCTGGCAGAGGGTACGGAGATGGCCCTCCCTGGGGCACCACTGCCTCAGGAAGGCCAGTGCACTTCCGCAGTGGACATAGAGGTGGCCCTGTCCTCTGTCTGGGGACCTCCTCCCCCGTGCCCTGTCCTGGGCCCCCTGCACAGCCCCCAGTTCAGAACATGTCGGATGTCTCCCTTCCCCGCTAGCCTCCCCTCGGGCAAAGGAGAACTGGTCACGCTAAGGCACAGCGACTCCTGGAAGTGGGGGGACAGACCTGGGACAAAGCTGGGAGAAGGTCCCATTAGACTGTCACCTGAGAGGAGGTCCCGGGATGCCAGGTGAGACACAGTTCTCACCCCAGGCGAATGGAGCGCAGACACGCAGCGAGGCCCTCTGGAGCTGCCTGCAAGAAGGCTGAGTTAGCCTGGGCTGTTTCCATAAGTAGGCTCCGAAGGGTGTGGGTGGCTGAAGCCTGGGGGAGTGGCCCGGAAGGTTCTGTAGGCCCCAGAGATACGTGAGCAGGGCAGCTGGGGGTGGGAGCATGGCTAAGTGGGAGAGGCCAGCAGGGGTTGTGTATCTGGCGTGAGAAGAGAAAGGGCCAGGCTGGCCCTGTAGCCTAATGGTTAAGGGAGTCAGATCCCACCTGGCTAGATAAGGTTCGAATCTTCGCACTGGCAGCTTGAAAACTTGCTGAGCCTCCCCTCGGGCTGAAGGAGAATGGTCACGCTAAGGCACAACGACTCCTGGAAGTTGGGGGACAGACCTGGGACAAAGGCGGGAGAAGGTGGACACTGAAGACTACAGCTGTTGCTCAGGGCCCTCATGGCTTCGGGCATCACCTCCCTTACACGGGCTTCCCTCTGAGGCAGGTGCTATTGTTAACCCTGTTTTACAGGCAGGAAAGCAGAGTCAGCACCATGACATCACCTGGCCGGGTCACCTGGCCGGGTCCCTGGCCAGGGAGAGTACCTAACCCGGGCACAGCAGGTTTTATTTATTTCTTCTTGAGAGAGATCTGTGCTATAGGGCACGTGCACTCACCGGAGAGACAGAGAGAGAGAGAGAGAGAGACAGAAAGCGAGAAATCACCCCCCGGGGGATGGCCACGCTGCAATCCCTTCTCCTCCATTCTCCTCTCGGGATCTTGGGCACGCACGCACACGTGCCCAGTGTGAGTTTTAAGACGCTGGGTCCGGGACACGAACCACAGTCAGCTTTGTCAGAGTCCAGTGTTGTAACCATCACGCCATCTGCTGGTCCCAGGCACAAGTGATTTTAGTGCCTTTGGAGCTGGAGCAGTGTTTGGTTCCCCGATGCTCTGGGGTCCAATTCCCGCTGTGTCTGACCTCCTTTTTTTTCCTGTGTTGCCTGATCTTTTGGTCCCAGCTTCCTTCAGTCCACTCTGACCCCTAAGTGTGACCAGAAGGGACCCCGCATGCACCCGATCCCAAAAATAAATAAATAAATAAAAAGAAAAAGAAAGAAAGAAAGAAAGAAGGAGGAAAAAAGAATTTCTCGGTGCTAAGGGAACATAGGTGGTGGGATTGGAAGCCCAGTGGCCTCAGAAACAACAGGGACCGACTGAGGCCAAGAGATGGGGGTGCCTGCCTGGGTTTCTCAGCGACCAGAGGGTAGCGGCCTCTGCCTTTCTGGAGGTCTCCAGGCCCACCTTGGGACCGAGGCCCCCTTCCGGAAACCATGGCGGCCCCTGGGGCTTATCTCTGCTGACTGCAGACAAGGCCACAGCCCGGCTCCGGGACAGGATGAGCTTGTCATCTCTCCATGGTGTTTTCCAGCACGGGAGGGTGGGGCTCACCTTCTACTTCCTGACAGCCCCCACCCCATCTGTGTGTCCAGCGTGGGAGTGGGGAGCTGGCAGAGGGTACGGAGATGGCCCTCCCTGGGGCACCACTGCCTCAGGAAGGCCAGTGCACTTCCGCAGTGGACATAGAGGTGGCCCTGTCCTCTGTCTGGGGACCTCCTCCCCCGTGCCCTGTCCTGGGCCCCCTGCACAGCCCCCAGTTCAGAACATGTCGGATGTCTCCCTTCCCCGCTAGCCTCCCCTCGGGCAAAGGAGAACTGGTCACGCTAAGGCACAGCGACTCCTGGAAGTGGGGGGACAGACCTGGGACAAAGCTGGGAGAAGGTCCCATTAGACTGTCACCTGAGAGGAGGTCCCGGGATGCCAGGTGAGACACAGTTCTCACCCCAGGCGAATGGAGCGCAGACACGCAGCGAGGCCCTCTGGAGCTGCCTGCAAGAAGGCTGAGTTAGCCTGGGCTGTTTCCATAAGTAGGCTCCGAAGGGTGTGGGTGGCTGAAGCCTGGGGGAGTGGCCCGGAAGGTTCTGTAGGCCCCAGAGATACGTGAGCAGGGCAGCTGGGGGTGGGAGCATGGCTAAGTGGGAGAGGCCAGCAGGGGTTGTGTATCTGGCGTGAGAAGAGAAAGGGCCAGGCTGGCCCTGTAGCCTAATGGTTAAGGGAGTCAGATCCCACCTGGCTAGATAAGGTTCGAATCTTCGCACTGGCAGCTTGAAAACTTGCTGAGCCTCCCCTCGGGCTGAAGGAGAATGGTCACGCTAAGGCACAACGACTCCTGGAAGTTGGGGGACAGACCTGGGACAAAGGCGGGAGAAGGTGGACACTGAAGACTACAGCTGTTGCTCAGGGCCCTCATGGCTTCGGGCATCACCTCCCTTACACGGGCTTCCCTCTGAGGCAGGTGCTATTGTTAACCCTGTTTTACAGGCAGGAAAGCAGAGTCAGCACCATGACATCACCTGGCCGGGTCACCTGGCCGGGTCCCTGGCCAGGGAGAGTACCTAACCCGGGCACAGCAGGTTTTATTTATTTCTTCTTGAGAGAGATCTGTGCTATAGGGCACGTGCACTCACCGGAGAGACAGAGAGAGAGAGAGAGAGAGACAGAAAGCGAGAAATCACCCCCCGGGGGATGGCCACGCTGCAATCCCTTCTCCTCCATTCTCCTCTCGGGATCTTGGGCACGCACGCACACGTGCCCAGTGTGAGTTTTAAGACGCTGGGTCCGGGACACGAACCACAGTCAGCTTTGTCAGAGTCCAGTGTTGTAACCATCACGCCATCTGCTGGTCCCAGGCACAAGTGATTTTAGTGCCTTTGGAGCTGGAGCAGTGTTTGGTTCCCCGATGCTCTGGGGTCCAATTCCCGCTGTGTCTGACCTCCTTTTTTTTCCTGTGTTGCCTGATCTTTTGGTCCCAGCTTCCTTCAGTCCACTCTGACCCCTAAGTGTGACCAGAAGGGACCCATGTCCCCAGGACCCATGAGTTCTCGAATTAGCTGTTCTTCTTAGTCCACTA